TATATTGTTAATTACATATGCGCTCTTTAAGGTATTAAACATATTAAAGCTATTAAATGTATTATCCTACTTATATCTCTCTAACGTTCCTTACTACTTAAAACCCATAACCTCCGTATATCCCTTTAATCATAGTTATCTCTTAAAACCCTTATTGCTATTATCAGATGTAAATGACTTTTAGGAGAAATAATCCCAGAAAGCCTATATTAGGTAGATGATCAACATAGCCATTGATTGTTACTGCGCCACATCGACCACCTCCTTCCACGTGCTCCCAAGATCATGTTTCACAGCTCACATTCATCCCCAACTCAAAGTGAGTTCCATGAACTTCACAATATGAGTTGTCAAACTTCGGCACTTGTTAGTCTTTTGAAGTTGTCAAGAGTTACTTCTAGGGTCCCATAAATTTGACTTATACTCCAAGATGAAAAGATATCATAGACTCTTATAGTTACAAGATAATAGTGTCTGGTCACAATTCTTCTCATATATGTTCTCTAGTTGTTTGTGGCATTTGTGAACAGCATACCGAGATAATATATATGGATCAAGATACCAATCTGATTTCAAAGATGTATCACTTGGGATAACAATGGGTACATCAGAGTCACAGTGGTCATGAAGTCATGTGACTCAATGAATAACAGTGGAGCAATAAGGACATCATAGGACACGTGGGCTGTGATATCAATGATTATTTTGTTTAAACTCAGATGGTTAAAAGTTAATTATATTTGATTCAAAAGAGATCTCTCATGCTTTTTCCATTATCTTTTATATCTTTCGTACTCCCTTTTCTTTTTACTAAAAAAATTTTTATTATTTTTAATTTTTTTTTTTGTTTTCTTACTAATGATTTTATTACTTTTCCCATTAGGCTTCTTGTCGGTCGTAGTATCTTTTTAGCAGCTTGACATTTATAAGTAATGCTATTATACTTTCGATTATGTTCTTAATTTAAATATGTTTTTGGAAAGTACCTCATGTATGTAATATGGTCCTTTCTATTTTGGATCAAATTTTCCACTTTTATGACCTTCTAGCGATGCTCGATACATCATGACTTTATTACCAATTTCAAATTTGGTGCTTGATGGATTTGACTATTATATCATTCCTTTATTTTAATTTGTGCTTGTTGCACTCTTATAATGGCAGAGTTATAGATGTCAGGTAAGTTCTCAATAAGTTCTATTGTTCTTTGTACTATCGTTTCGTTAGCTAATTCTCTTGTCCCACTAGGTTCAATGGGTAATCATGCTTCACATCCATATACCAAGAAAAATGGCATGACTCTTGTCGTCGAATGGCTTGTCATTTGATATGCAAACAGGATTGCCAGTATGATCAAATCGCATTCGTTGACTGTTTCTATAATTCTTGCAATGGCATTACACAATGTCTTGTTGAACTATTTCACCAACCCATTGGTCTGGGGATAATACGGGGTGGATAACAAATGCTTAATATGGAACTTTTCCAGTAATCGATCTACCACATGGTTAAGAAAATGGGTACTATGATCTGACAACAATTTTTCAGGACACCTGCGCTAGCAGATAATTTTATTGAAGGTAAAATTAGATACTTCTTGGGTGTTCATGAACTGAATCACTCAGGCTTCAGGCCACTTAGTCATGTAGTCTGTGGCTATAATGATATAATAGTTAAACTTTGGAGTGATCAGTAGGAGGCCAATGATGTCATTTCCAACCTGATAAAATGGGGCCAATACTGGTATAGGGTTTAATGAACTTTTGTTTTATTCTTGCTTCTTCTTTGATACTTGTCGCAAGCTCTAATATATTCTTTTATATTATCAAACATTTTAGTCAATAATATACACCTCTAATTTTTTCAAACATTGCTTCTGCTCTAAAATAGTCTTCTATTGGATGGTTATATGTCATCAGCAGAACAACATCGACTTCCAATCTCTGTACTATCCTTATTAATCGATCCAGATAATGTATATTCGGCTTATAAAGAATCCTGTCTTTTAGTTTCAGTATTCTACTTAGTCTAATTACTCTGTTTTTCTGTGCTTAATTTAAGTTTGGAGATAAATATTAATTGTGCATGTATTGCTTAATCCTATTATAAAGTGTTGGATCCATTGTTTCTCTATTATGGCCAGGATACTAACAACCTAGTCTGGATATTATTTATTGTCGGATTTATTTTTCTATTTAATGTCTAACTATGTTTCTTAAGTTAGTTTTCTCTAGGATGGCTGTTATCTTTATTGATTCTTGATTTGGGATTCTAGTTGAGCATTGAGGGCCTGTTATTGATCCTAAGTGGGTTCTCGATTATAGGTCTGCCATTCCTCCTTAACTGTACATCCTATTGGCATTGACTGCTTCTTCATCCAGAGGCTCAGTGTATTCTAAATAGACCCCAGTACTCCACAAATATTCCCTTTGAGCCAATTCTTGTCTTGCTTTCCTAACAATCTAATTCCATAATATCGATAAATTTTAAGAGTCATTTGCTAATAGTCGATACCCGCAATGTTGTGCCAGGTGGATGGTTTTATGTCGATTCAGCACTTCTAAAGTGTAATTGTTGAGTTTGGTTGAGCGGGAAAATACATGGTATACTTTACCATAGGACCTAGTTAGGTAGGTAAAGCATAACGCCATAAGGTACCCTATTGTCAATTTTTGGAACTTCATCAAGTTACTATCTTGGATTTCAAGCCTATTTACACCAATGGCAGTTATACTTTCTATTGAATCATCCCTTAACTCTAGGTATTCTTCCAACTTTATATCTTTGTCCTTATCATCCTTCTCTATTACTGTAAATACTTCGATTTCTTTATCCAAATTTCACTAGGTCTTCATTTCTTCGTCAATCCATTCACTATCGTTCCATTCATCATTGTCATAATGAACGGTTAGTTCTACGTTTTCAACACTCCACTCGGCATACCCACCTAATTCTTCTCATATAGGACTTCCTCAATGTCATATTCCACTAAAGTGAATAATCATTTCCTACATTTCTGTACACTAACATCTACTTCTACCCTATTACTACTAACTTCTAGAGAGTCATATTGTCACAAAAGTGCATCTGCATTAGTATGCTTTTTATCAGCTGATGTTCTATAGTATAATTGTAGGGCTGCAAACATATAATCCATCTAGCCTGTTATCTATTTAGTTCTATATATGGAGCCATTTTAATGCTACATAGTCAGTTATTACCACAAATGACCTAAAGCCGAAATAATGGTGATAATACTCAATGGCCTACAGCACTGCAAGACATTCCTGCTCCATGGTTAAATAATTTTTCTCTGCCTGTGACAGCCTCTACTGGCGTACAAGATCACATGATCCTTACTGTCTTCTCCCTTCTGCACTAATACTGCACCTAATCATGTACCAGATGCATCTGTATATAGGTAAAATGTCTTTGAAAAGTTTGGATACTGAAGAACAGGTGCTGTGGTTAGGTATGTCTTTAATTTTTTGAAGGCAATTTGTTGTTCACTAGTCCATTCATATCTAATGTTCTTCTTTAATAGGCAATGTAAAGGTTGCGCAATGGTTTTGAAGCCCCTGATAAATCGATGATAATAGGATGCTAGTTCTATAAAAGCTCTTAGTTGTCAAGGGGTCTTGGGTACTGGATAGTGCTTTACTTTGTTAAACTTTGTCTTGTCAGGATGGATACCACTACATCCAACAACATGTCTTAGGAACTGTAAATTAGCCTTAAAAAAACTGCACTTTTCCAAATTAATCTTTAATCTGACCAGGTTTAATTTAATAAACACTTTCTTTAGGTGGTCCAAATGTTCTTGAAATGTTTGGGAGTAGATGTTGATGTCATCAATATATAGTACTACAAATTTTCCTATGTATTTTACCAAAACCTTATCTATTAACTGTTGAAACATCACAGATGCATTACACAACCTGAATGGCATCACTTTGAATTCATATAGACCCTTCCTTATTACGAATGCCATCTTCTCTTGGTTATATGGGTTCATTCATACCTGCCAATAACTGCTTCTAAGGTCCAGGCTGGTAAACCAATTTGCCTTACTAAATGTTTCTAGTAAGTCATCAATATGTGACAGTAGATATTGTGAGATCCGAAAACGTGACAGATATCACATGCCGTAAATCCCGAATGTCAAATATGTCAAATATGTCAGATATATTTAATATATCTGATATATCTGATATATCTGATATATCGCCTATATCGCATAAGTGTGATATATTAGATATATGCGATATATTAGACAAGTTCCTAATGTAAATAAGATAAGACAGTTTATTATAAATAAAGGGCAATTCGCCCAGGCCAAAGGGCCAGTGATTACAATTACGAAATATACTAACTACCCGACCCATAGTACAAGTGAAAGTATTGCCTTATAAACCCAGTTACTATTGTAAATCCCATTATAAACAATACCCGTTAACCCCAGTAATAAACTAAACCCGTAATTGATCGCTCGCCTAGTCACGTGCCCAGTAAACCGTAACGAACGACAGAGAAGAGTTCCAACCCCGATTCGACGTAGTGAAATCCCGGTTGAGACAAGAGAAGAATATAAGAAATTAAAGAAGAGTAGGTTGAAGGAAAGACTCAACAGAGAAGAGACCAGTACTTACCTACAGATGAAAATCCACTCGCCAAATCTAACACGCCTGATTCAACTTAGCCGCCGTAGGTTACACGAGAGTTGAAATAGTTTAGCGACAGACTCGCCGATTTCCGAGATGACAATATGCATCTTTCTTTGTTACTGAATTCAACCATTATAATCTATACACATCTGCAACTGCCACCTTTCTATGAGATGATGACCACTAGAGATAGCCATGGATTTTCAGACTTTTCAATTATCCTTTGTCTTTCCAATGACTTTAGCTTCTTGTCTAAGAATTCCTGTTCATCAGGAGATGTCACGTAAAAATGCTGCTTAATGGGCTGAGCTTCACCAGTATCTATATGATGAGTTATAAGGCTGGTGGTTCCTAATCTATCGAGGCCTATAGTGAGCAAGCAACTTTCTTTCTTAAAGAAAACGTGGGCCTTTTCTTTCTCCTTGTTACTCAAGATGTCGGCTTGGGTGAATTTTTCTAACCATTCTATTATGGTAAGTTCAAGTTTCTTCTTTTTCTGGGTAGGCACTTCCTTGACTAATGATAGATATATTGTCAGGCTAACTTCATCCTTTCACAGGTTACTATAGAGGTCGATTTCGTTATCATCAGATTCTAAGGTGTAATATCCATCGATCTCATCTAATTGTTCATTTTCATATGTAAACTTATCAAATGTGTCGCCACTACCTTTTTCCCAATCGTTCTTTCTAGATTCTCTCAAGCTTTCCAGACCAGTATGAAAGATAGGCACCTCTATAGTCTGATCTTTGTGCTTCAAGATTAACTATTGTTCATCGAAGTGGAGCTATGCTTTGGCCTTTTGAAACTAATTGGTTCCTAAAAGTAATGTTTCATCTAATGATTCTATGACCTGTAGAGTGCTAGGGATTACTGCATCTTGAACTAATATCCTTACATCGTTGATTTTACCTAATGCTCTTGTCTTGCTACCTGTAACTATAACTACAACAGTGAATGATTTTGACTGTATACGAAATTCCAACTTATCAACTAATTTTTTTGTCATAATACTTACGATCACCTCAGAGTCCAATACCACTACAACTGGGTTGCCTCGAATTCTAACATAGCAACATGCTGCTGTCATCTTTCTATTATCCTCGAACTTCACATAACTGGCTTCTTGTACAGGTAGTAAGGATCATTGTAAAGCTAGGGCCAGTTTCCTCCTTTGGTTAGGGTACTGAAGCATCTGGCCTATCATGATATTAGCAGAAGCATTCATAATATCTTTCGCAATATTATAGGAGTGAGTTTATCAATCACTGATGGGTTATGCTTTCTTCTTTGTTTTCTTTCAGACACGAACTCATCTTCTATTATCATGTCAGGGCCTTCTTCTAAGTTAACACAGTAGTGTATTTACTATATTGTGATTTCTTAGACGGGTCTCTCACTTGAATTTCGGTCGACTCTGAACTACCTTCTTACTATTTCCATGTATAACTGACATTGGTTTTCATTCAGGGTGCATACTTCGTCCTCTTTCTAGCCTTCATTGCTACTATGGGATGCACTTTTTCCAATATAGTTGCTAGGCTTGTGTTTACTACTAATTTTTGGGGTTTTTTCTAATAGACAATACCGAGCAATATGGCCAACCTCACTACAGTTATAATATATTATCCCCTTCCTAACTTCATGATGCTTCTTCTGGTCATATTACTCTTCATTTATTCTCACCATGAGGCTCTCTAGAACATTTCTCGCTAAGAGTGGTGTAATTCAGGGCTATCTGTTCAATTTTCTAGGATAGATTATCTAATTATTTTTCTAATTTTTTTTGGTGCCCTTTTTCTTGCATCTGCTTGCTATAGTATTCGCTGGCTTTAATCCTTCATGTGCTGATAATGACCTCCTCTAAAGTATTAGGTTCAGAAATAGCTACAAAAATTGGGTCTTGCCACGTAGTCTGCTTAAAAACTTTCTAATAACATAGGAGTCAGACAACCTTCTTTAAGGTCCATTCTGGCAACAAGGTGTTTAAGCTTTACTGCATATGCATCGACATTCTTATCTTTTCATTGTTGGAGACTATTCAACTCTATCTACCAATGGTGGCATTTCTCTGGTATAGTAAAGAATTCCAGAAAAGCATAGTAAAAGCTTCCTTCTTGATCATTGTCATCTTTCCACTCCTTCAACTGCTTCTTCTTTTCTTTGTACCAATCCATAGCCAAACCTTGAAGATATCCGGACACAATCTTCAACATTCTCTGCTTGGACCAATTGTTAGCCATGGCAGCTCTTTCAAATGACTCCAACTATTCGATAGGATCTTCTTCATCATTCCTGTAGAAGGAGACAATCTTTATATGAGTTAACTTCTTCCTGTCTTCAGAGTTCTTTTTAGAGTTTGCAATGATAGTTGTAACTTGGGCGAATGATGTAGTCAAACCTTTAAGAAGTTCCTTTAGCTGATCCCTGTTCATCCTGTCTTTAGTAAAGAGGTATCTTTTTAATAATATGATTATGAAGAAAGAGAGTTTTCAATTACTAATGCAGAAATTTGAATCAGGAAGAGGGGGTAGCTAGCATTTCGAATCTCACAGTCACTACCAAAATGATACTGGCAAAATGGTGAGTCAGTCATTTGACAAACGTATATTTTGTGTAATCTACAAATAACTTAGTGGTAAGAGGAAGTTAGATTTGGAAAGTGATGTGTTTGTGATCATAGGTTTTATAATATAATTAAACAGGGAATTATTATAAGATGAAATTTATGATAAGCACTAACTGAACTGTTCTTGTAGGGCATGAAACCTTTATTATATATTGTTAATTACATATGCACTCTTTAAGGTATTAAACATATTAAAGCTATTAAATGTATTATCCTACTTATATCCCTCTAACGTCCTTTACTACTTAAAACCCATAACTCCTATATATCCCTTTAATAATAGTTATCTCTTAAAACCCTTAGTGCTATTATCAGATGTAAATGACTTTTAGGAGCAATAATCCCGGGAAGCCCATATTAGGTAGATGATCGACATAGCCGTTGATTTTTACTGCGCCATATCGACCACCTCCTCCCACGTGCTCCCAAGATCACGTTTCACAGCTCATACTGTTAACGCAAAAGAAGGACTCCAACCTGATTCGACATATCGCAACCCCAAGTTAAGGAAGTAGAAGGAAGAGAAGAGAAAACAAGAGTTAATAGAAGGACAGGTTAAAGGAAGGACTTAGAAAGAAGAGAAGATTAGTACTTACCTATGGATAAACCACTAGCCAAATCTAACATGCCTATTTCGACTTAGCCGCCATAGGTTACATGAGAATTGGAAGGAATTAGTGACAGACTCGCCGATTTGCCGCACGACACTATATTTAACTGCAACTTAATAAACACCAGATCTATTAGTTTTTTTTACATGTCAAAAAACTATATACAAAACTTCTTATAAATCATATAAACCAAGTATTTACCAAACATAAAATCCTATCACGCTATAATTACATTGCTCTGCCAGGCAATAGTACAGCTATCCTATACATATTTTAAATAATATAATTGAAGATGCTTCTTGCAACTCTAAACAGCTCTAGCTTATATCTTAAGATATAAGCAAAGCATATGATTTAGTTAATCTGAACCTGTTTAAAAAAGCTCTCGATTGTATTAATATGCTATCTAAGCTAGTTAACATATTTACTAATTTATTAACAGACTACCAAAATAGAATAATTATCAACTTTGGCCTAACTAATCTATATATAGTCAAAAATAAAATAGATCAAAGAGAAACAATAACTACTCTATTCTGGTGCATCTATTATGATCCACTTATTCACAAAATTGCATCTCAATATAAAGGTTACTTATTATCTACAACTTGAAAAACCTACCTCCAACTACTCAGATTCCAAAGCCTTGATGCATCTACATCAGTATTAGCTTATATGGATAATACATTCTGGATAGCAAAAACAAAACAAGAACTAGAACAAATTACTCAAACTGCTTCATCTTTTTACCTAATGACCAACATTTAAATCAATGCAACAAAATCTGTTTTTATTTCAAATTTGCCTATATCAAGTATTCAATTTTTTAACTCTACTTTAGAATCCATATCTGTTAGCCAACTATTTAAATTTCTAGATTGTTGGTTTATACTTAATAACAAACAAAGCAAACAAATCAAAATGATTCAAGAAAAACACTTTAACTTACAAACATTGCTAGTACAAAGAAAATTACAGATAAACAAATTATTTATATAATCAATATAGTTATTATACATATACTTGAATATAGACTATATAACATTATTATGCTGCACTCTATATGTAACAACATTCTTGCTAAATACCTAACAATAGCCAAACACAAATTCCATTTAGCACACTCAATTCCCAATAGCATGATGCTCAATCCATACTTGTATAATGTTTATAACATATAGAATATTCAACTCTAGCATTATATTACCAACTTTTTACTATCATTTAACAATTCTAACTTACTAAAAATCTCAATACAGATAAGACTACAACAGTTTCAAAACAACCTATAGTCAACTATTAACATACTTCAATATCCCAATCCAATTATTAATAGTCCAAATAAACATACCTTAAATTTCAAAATTATTTAACTACTAACATACTTAAATATATTGATAACAGCTAACCCCAATGTCTTATGGCCAAACATTATATTATACAATCTTCAATCACTAGAATCAATTCTATCTCAACACCTACAATATATTAACTTCAAAAAATAAATTAGAAATCTCAACATCTTATATCTTGAATAGCTTTGTACAGCTAACAACACTACTTTACTGAAATGAAAACATCTCTTATCTCAACTGTTACACTTATCTAAGAGTTGAAAACTATTATGGTTCACTTATTTGGAAGACACTATAATGGCTCATAATAGTTTTAAAATCCTTCTTCTACACTACTAATAACCAGGATATAATCCATTTATATATAGCTCACAACATATTTCTAAAAAATCTAAACTCTGGTTACTTACATACATAGACAATGAGATTATTATTACAAAATTTACAGAAATTTTAAAAACACTAACAAATATCTATCACATACTAGCAAACAAATATTGATATAGAGGATGGTGATCCTAGTGTAATGGTTATGTTGTTATTTTCCAAGCAGTAAATCCAATGTTCAATTCTTATTAGTGACAGATATTGAAAAAATAGACCTATTTCAGCAAACTTATCTGTGATCTGGGGTTTGTAGATTTTGTAATTCTGGTTATACCAAGACTATCTTTGAAGTATGCAATGTCAAATGAATAAATCCAGAAAGTATATACTCAGATTAGAAGCCTGTTTGGAAATCCCAAGCAGAGAGATAGTACAACTTTTGACATTGCCAACTGTGAAGACCTTGATCTGCTGAAGAAAACCTGGGGCAAGTGACCTGTATGAGCAAGAACCTCTTGGTAGAGGGTTCACCAACCTGGCCACCAGTTGATCTGAACATGAAGTTGCATTATGCAGGGCTAACTAGATTGGTAGTATAGGAGGACTTGCAAAGGTAGATGAGATAATGATGAGGTTGTAAAAGGAGTATACTGAGGTTGTATAAACTTTGCAAGAATTGTAAACTAGGTTTAACTGTAATTTGGGATACAGAAGACTCTAGTAATGATGTTTTAAGAATAATCAGCATGAAATAAGACAAGAGTCCTAAGGATATGGTAAGCATCTAGAACTTCTCAAATAACATTATATAATGGAGATGTTCTAGTGATAACAATAAAGATTGCAGTACAGAGCATTTAAATAGACAACACCTGTAGTTGGGTTGCAGGTATGGCAGCTAGTGTAGAATCTATATATAGGCAGACTACTTAAATTAGATACCAAAAGTGTATGTGTGGCTAGATGTACTCTCTAATGTAAGATAGCTCCTTTGAGGTAATCAGACTGTAAGTTACCATGTCCTACAATACTGAATAAAAAAGCCCTAGTCCCCAAAAGACTAGTTTAAAAAATAAAATAAAATAAAATAAACAAATATTGATATAAATTACTCTAAATACTATTCTTTTATATCAACTCAATGCTTACCTTGCTTAGGCTGTTATTTAAACTCCAACAGAATTCAGAACTCATATACAATTAATGTATCTGCAATTATTTCTTCTTAATTTCTAGGAAGAGTTAACTCTAACACATTAAACTTTAATGCCAACTATATTGACCTTATTCATTCAACAGCTATTAAACATCCAATATCAATCTTCCAGTACCAATAATTCCAATTCCAAACTCTTATGTTTCTGAATTATTCAAAACTAGTGAAGCAACAAACATACTTGACAATACTCAATTTTTAATAGCTCTTAACAACAATTTAACTATTAAATTAATGGCTCAGTAATTAACATTGGAACTAACCAATGTACAATGGGTATTGGCTGGGTTCAAGTTAACAAAAATAATCAAATTATTTATAAATTTTCTGCCAAAATTAACTTCTAGCCATTATCTTATAAAGCTGAACTGATGGCTTTTCTCTCAGCCATCTCTACTACATCCTGAAATGCAATAGTTAACATCTTTACAGATTTCTAATCTATTATCACTAAATATACTAATATTTATACTACATTCTCCAATTCTAATAAACTTTTTAATTCAATATATGCCTATATGGCATACTTTATTGAACACATTAAATCTTATAACCTTCAAATCAACTTTCACAAGGTGCAGACTCATACTGATAATAACCTAAACAATCTTGCTGACTTCTTGCTAAACAATATAATCACTCTTCTGATTTATATTTCAACTATACCAATATTTAAAATCTATACTACTTGCCATTCTGAGATCAACATTTTATAGAATACTTTACAAGAACATTTATCAAAAATATCTAAATGCCTATATCTTGGCAATGTGGTCATTTCAAAAACAAAACCAGAAATGGAACCAACTTATTTCAGAAATAGATTAGAGATCCACTTGGTTATACTTTAATCATAACCAAAAACTAATACATAACATAACTAACTTCAAACTTAATCTTTTAAAATCAAAATTCTACTAAATAAACTATATATACACTTTCTATGCCACAAA